TGCGCCACCACCGCCCGGCCCCTTCTGCCTTTTTAAATAACAGTTATTTATTTTGTGTGGAGGTCAGAGAACAAATTGAGATTTTCCTCTGTCCCGTATAGGTACTAGGAATTGAACTACATGTACCTGGCAGCAGGTATATTTGCCTAGTGAGCCAATTTTGTTGGTCCTTTTTTTTTAAATTTATTTTTACTATTTTATGTATATGAGTGTTTTGCTTGTATATACATCTGTGTACCACATTCATGCTTGGTGCCCAAGGAGGTGGTGTGCCTCCATGTGGGTGCTAGGAATCGAACCCAGGTCCTTTGCAACATTCTTGCTTTTAACCACTGAGCCACCTCTCCAGCCTTGCCCTCCAGCTTAAAAAACTTATGTTGACAGAGTCTCAGCCTCCTGAATGACTGGATCTATCTTCATTTATTTATTTATTTAGCTAGCTAACTAGCTAGCCTGGTTTGGCTTGGAACTGACCATGTAGCTGAGGGTGATGTTGAAATTCCAATCCTCTTTACCTGGTTTGTGCTGTGATGAAGATAGAAGCCAGGATTTCTTGTATGTTAGCAAGAACAGCAACTGAGCGGAAGGGTTCATAATGCTTGAAAGATCAAAATCTTAATTCCCCTTCCCACTTTCTTCAGGTCTGCCTCTATAATCCAGGCTAGTCTCAAAGCCAAGTCATCCCACCCTCACCTCCTCACCACACTGAAACTTTGCGACAAGGTCTCATGTAGCCCAGGCTGGTCTTGAACTCCTCATCTTCCTTCCTAAGCCTTCTAAGTGCTGAGATGATAGGTGTACCCGCCACACTAGCAGCATACATACTCAATCTTGCATTGGAAAACCACTTTATCAAAACAAAATCTCTAAAGTTCTGTGGGTGGAAAGAAGAATAAATCCTGACTAAAAGAAAAGGAGAAAAAACTCAGCAAATTCCAAAGAAATGTGGGGGCATCTCAAATCTATGTGGGTATATATAATATCCTGGTTTTGTTTTTGTCTTTGTGTTGGTATATATAGTATCCTGGTTTTGTTTTGTCTTTGTGTAGGTGTATATATATATATATATATATATATATATATATATATATATATATATATATTACCCTGGTTTTGTCTTGTCTTTGTGTAGGTGTATATAATATCCTGGTTTTTGTTTTTTGTCTTTGTTTTAGTGAGATCGCGTACTATAGGGGAACTTCTAGCTCCGGCAGCTCCTTTCGACAAGAAATGTGGTGGTGAGAACTGGACTGTAGCTTTTGCTCCAGATGGTTCGTACTTTGCATGGTCACAAGGATATCGCATAGTGAAGCTTGTCCCGTGGTCCCAGTGCCTTAAGAACTTGTAAGACTTCTTTCTTTCTTTGTATTTGTAGAATTTACTCTTGTTTTTCAGTGTTGGGTGATAAAAATATTTAAGTTTTCCTTTATAAAATGTTACAAGTTTGTTTGTAGTTTGAACCCGTGCACTGGAGGTTTGTGTAAAAAATTACCTGAGCTGGTCATGGTAGTGCATCCCTTTAGTCCCAGCACTTAGGACGTAGAGAGAGCTAGATCTGAGTTCCAGGCCAACCTGGTCTACACAGTAAGTTCTGGGACAGCCAGGACAGCATAATAATAGAAAGACCGTCTCAAAAAGAAAAAAAAAAAAAGAATTCTCTGGGTGGGTGTGGTGATAATGCCTGTAATACCTACCAGCACTGGGAAAGCAGAGGCAGATGATCTCATGGTGTAGACCAAACTGGTCTACAGAGTGAAAAAGTCTAGACTGAATTTGTACGTTGTAGAGTATTTTAATATTTTTCTCAGACATTTATGCTCCCACCCCTCCCCCACTGAGCCTCAGGGCCTCATGCTGGAGCCAATCCTTTGCCAATTAACTTACACCCCTATCTCCTGTTGAGTGTATTTGTATGAAAAGACAGATTGTGCTTCATATTAGTGTGTATGTCCTATTGTGTCAGATCAAATGATCTTTGTTAGGTGAAGTTTTGCATTCACTTTGGATTTCACACTATTGGTTAACAGTAGTGTGGATTTCATACACTTTATTGGTTAACAGTAGTGTGCAAACAGATTTTTTTCTTTAATAAGATAGTCCTACTATATGGCCTAGATTGGCTTTAAACTCTTTGATTTTTCCGAGACAGGGTTTCTCTGTTTTGGTGGCTGTCCTGGATCTCACTCTGTAGATCAGGCTGGCCTCGAACTCACAGAGATCTGCTTGGCTGGCTTTAAACTCTTGATTCTCTCTCTGTCTCAGGCTCCTGGGTGATGCTATCATAGGTGTGAGAACCATAGCCCCTAGCTAATCAGGATGGGTGGGTGGGGCTTTAGTGTAGGCCACCTTCAAACTCAGTATGTAGCCTGAGATGACTTTAAACTTCTAATCTTCCTGCATCTCTACTCAGAATTGCTGGAATGACTGGGGTGTGCCGCCACACCCCATTTATGCTGGGATGGAGATCAGACCTAGGTTTTCAATGTATGCTACGAAAGTGCTCTACCAGCTGAAGTTTTTTTTTCTTTCCAGAGCTGAGGACCAAACCCAGCGCTAAATCCCCAACCTCCAGCTGAAGTTTTATATGTCTGCTTTTTAAATTATAAAGTTAATACGTTTTTTATTTAAACTTGTCTGATCCCTTCACAGCACCAAGGTCCCTGAGGTTCATGATTTCTCATCAAGATAGCCCTTTCTGAAGGAACTTAATCCAGTCCTATCTATCATACCACAATTCTGTTATTTGAGCCTCTTTTATCTGTGCTTGAATTAAGGATATTCACAATTTACATCATAAAAGATGAATTATGTAGTACTTTGGCAAATGAGCTAAATTAGTCCTTAAGTTTCACAGTGAAAAGTTACCATTTTTTTTCATCATATCATCACTCTGAGCATAAACAAGATACAGCAGGTTTTGGTGTCACCACTGGGTACATTCACTGTGATAGAAGCTGTCTCGGTTGAGATCCGTTGGCCAGGGCTGGACACTGACAACAGTACCCACTCAAGTAGAACCAGGCTGGCACTGCTGCTAAAGAAGGCCTGTTGAAGATACTTTGGAAGAAAAACAAGTTAGAGATCACTTTCTTTTATTTTGTTTTGTTTTTCCGAGACAGGGTTTCTCTGTGTAGCTTTGTGCCTTTCCTGGAGCTCGCTCTGTAGACCAGGCTGGCCTGGAACTCACAAAGATCCTCCTGCCTCTGCCTCCGGAGTGCTGGGATTAAAGGCATGTGCCACCACTGCCCGGCAAAATTACTTTCTTATTGAAGGTCTTCTCAGCCAGTAATAGTTTTCATGAGTTGAATTTGTCTGGCCTCATATTTCAGGTACTAATTTTTCCATCTGTAGAAATAGTGTTACAATTTTGTTGAAATTATTTAACAAGTGTTAACAGTTAGTGTCTACAGAAGTATAGTATAAAGGAGAATTCATTTTCAATCTTTCTCCCCTCAGTCTTTTACATGGTTCCAAGAATGTTACCAATTCAAGCTGTCTGAAGTTGACAAGACAAAATAGTAATGGT